GGTAATCCTTACTGATCTGTTAATCTGTATTTTAGGGATGATTTTTCCCCACACTGATTTGCTAGAATTTCCTTTCTGTGAACATACCAGCTCTCGGTGCTACTAACACAGTGGTGTTAGTAGATTCTGTTGGTTTTGGAGCATAAGGTCTGCAGACAGAAGTTTAGCTTAGAGATGCCAACCTCTGTGTTGTGTTGGCTAGAATTCTATCTAAAGGGGTTCATTTACTGAAGAAGTCATCTTGATTCTAGTACATGTTCAATTTAAATACCCAAGTAGGTTTAAGTGGAATTTCCCCCAAATCTGAGTATTGTGACCATGTTATGGTAAAATAATAGCTGATCACTTCCTATATGTGCAAATAAGACAGACTTGAGTTTTTCTTTCTAGACTCCCAACTTTTGGATTTTAGCCCGAACCATTAAGGAATTCACAGCCGCTGAAGGCAACGGGAGCTTACCACTGCGAGGCACAATTCCAGACATGATCGCCGACTCTGACAGGTTCATAAAGCTACAGAATGTGTGAGTTGTCAGGATTATTTTCCACTTACCGTTGGTTCTGAAACAAATTAATTGAAGGAGTTTAGTAGTATGATGGCAGTGTGGTAGGTAAGCAAAGGTAAGTCCATTGTTTCTCATCAGACAGCAAAGGCTAGGGAAAGGGAGTCATTAAGGTAGATATGTTCATAGTCTAAGGACCCCATGTAGTTGGAAAAATAAAAACAGAAAAATAGACAACAGAGAGGTAAATAAGGAAGACGGTTGTTGCTTCTATGACCGTTTGTAAAAGCAGATGTCCTAACTTCACCCCAAGTTACCACCATAGACATGGGACTATCCAACCTATATATAAGAAAAGACCAGCAACTTGCAAATGCTTCATTTTTTTTCTTTTTTGATGTAAAGCAGGCATAACATTCAGCCAGCTTTCTAAGGACTGCGTTTAAGTCCAAAAAGCATCAAAATGGGTTGTCATCTGACTGATGTCTGTGTTATCTCAGTTAAGGAAGAAACAGAAGCATTGGTGGGTTGATGACTTTTCCTTATCTGTGTATTACTGTGGCATATGGATTTAACAAGTAATTCGGCCCAGAGATCTCCAAGCCAGATTACTTGACAGATAAAGGAGGCCTGTGATTGACTGAGCCAGCTGATATGCACTTAAATGGGAAGTATAATAGATTTTCAGTAAGGATATACAGTATATTAAGTAATAACTCCAGTGTGTACCTTACAGCAAACCTCTGCTTTGACCATTCTGGGCACAGTGACAGATTTGTTCTCATCTCCCATATACTGCCAGCATACGATCACTCTGTTAAGTTTTGGGGGTAAACGGGAGTATGTGGTGTTCCTGGGTATGTAAAAACATGGGACTTGCTCCATGTGACAATACTGGTCCAGTCAGCATTGTCACGTGTAGAGTCCATAGCTCCATGGAAGCTATAACTTCAGTGACTTATAGGTTATCAAATATTTTTCTTATTTTTGATGCACCATTCATACTTTTGTTGTTTTTAAATGTAGACATCTGTAGACTAAAGCTGGCACTCATTGGCTACCTCTATCTGTAAAAAATAAGTCAAGGCAACTGGACTTGCTGTATTTTTCTTTCAAAAAAAAATACAGCAAGTCCAGTTGCCTTGACTTATTTTTTACAGATATACCATGACCTGGATGAATGAGAATCTTCACAGACATTGGCTACCTCTGTTCAGCCGACAATTTTCCGACTTGCTCCTTCCATCAGCTGATTGAGGGATACTGGTTGGAAAGGTGCCGACAGCAGCACCCACACATCGAATTTCGGCCGGTTCATCAAGAACTTGATGACCCTAATTGCATAACAGTGGTTAATATAAGATATCACTTACACAAGGAGTACATTGTTTTCAATGAGTGGGCCAGCTCATACACTTGCATTGTGAAGGAGCAGTAGAGTGCAACTGTTGTGAAGCACTGCAAAACGGGAAGCGGAGCCTACATATGTGATGGGCAAACATGGCTTGCCCCCATGTACTTATGTAGTTACACATTTTGGAAAAAAAGGTTTCAAAATATTAAACAAACTGATAGGATTGTCTCCTTAAAATTATATTACAGCCTCCTTTTTAAAAAAAATGTTTCCTACAAGGAGGCCTATGCAAGAATTAACATTCAGAAAGAAAATATGGGGGTTCTGATGGTGGTGGATGAGTATGGCAAGGGAGCATGTGCAGCTTGCTGGTAACGTCTCCCAGTCTGGGCAAAGTACAGGTTCTCCATAAAGTATATCTCAAGATCAACCATTTTTTAATATTGCAGCTTACCAGTCCTTAGATGTGGTGGTGGCTGCATGAGTTGGTTTATTAGACTTTTTTTTCCTTTTATAGTCATCTGGTGAAGTAACACACTTCCTGTACTACCGTGACGCTCACTCACTGTACTGTATCTATGGAGGAGCACAGTTGTCACCCTAGTACAAGGACTTGTGTTAGGACTACATCTCCCTTTCTCTTCATCTCCATTACATAGAGGGAGTTGTTGTGTGGTCCTACCCCACTTCCTGATTACATTGTTTGAGTTCTCACTGCAGAGTACACATGGCAGGGCTGCATTTCCGGGAGGATCAACAGGTTTGTTACTTTTGCACTTAACGAACAAATCTAGCAAACCACTTTTAATAGTCTATTTATCAGATTACAATGAAGGAAACAGGAGAATTTCATTGTTAGGATTTACATTACTATTAACATGACCATGCTGTTTAAATCACCAGACTGCCTTCATTCCTAACTGTTTAGGTACCGGGAAAAAGCCAAAAAAGATGCGGCATCTGTTGAACACTATGTCTCTAAACTACTACAATCAGTCGGCAGGGTAAGTGCTCCTCACTGTCCGCGTTTGTTTTCATCATAGCTGTGAATAAGGCCCTGAGTGGCTGAAACGCGTTAGCCGTTACACAACGTGTGCTATTTTGTAAACTGTATCTATAACAAATCCTTGGAACTCAGAGGCTGGGGGACAGCTCCCCATTCCCGTGTGACGGCTCCCCATTCCCGTGTGACGGCTCCCCATTCCCGTGTGACGGCCCCCCATTCCCGTGCCCCCGCTTTATTGCCTTATGCTGACCTTTTCTGCCTGACTGCATTAAAAAGGGACCCACGAACCCATATGTACTCAGAGATTTGGTGTCAAAAGCATTGTGTTTTGTAGTTTGTGAGTACTGTTTAAATCCTATTTACAAACTTGTCATGCTTGCCTCTGCAGCCTCCAGAAAGCATAGCGGAAAAAGACATTCGTCTGTTCTGTAAGTAGCATTTAATGACTAGTAAATGCAAGCAATGACCGATAGATGGCAGCGTGGACTCAACTGCTTAGACTATCTGCATCTACACTGTCCACATGATCTACCAACTTAATCCCAGCCAAATGTGTTACAACATGATTGTACAATCTCAGTCTTCTCACATTCTGTTATTGGAGGGTCTATTAAAAACGATCTATTAAGGAAGAACTCCGGGCAAACATTTCAATGGGGTTATATATGCACGGCAATCACTGAACAAAGGTACATGTACCTCCTTTTTGTGACACGAGCTGCAATGTGTGCGATTTGCATGGGCGGTATCCCGCACCATCTGCCTTGTGCGACTGGGGTTCCATTAGAAAATAATGGCACCGCCAGCTCGATCGGTGGTGGTGGGTGATTCTGTGACTGGGCAGGTTTCATGCACGGTTGCCGCAAGGTCACGGATCGCCACTGTGTGAACATCGCCTTACTGTTTATTGGGGTCATACCCAAATGGAACAGTTTATAAAAAAAAAGGAATGCCTCCTCTGTCTGTCAGTGGGCAGGAGAGGCCTAGACATTACAACTCCCACGAACTGCCAATGATCTGAAAGGAAACCTTCACTTAAAGGAGAACTATGGGGTTAAGGCTTTTCCCCATAGTTCTTCTTAGGGAAACGGGAGGACACAAACTAGCGTCCTCCCGTCACCCTAAGCTCAGTATACCGCGAGCTACAGCTCGCGGTATACTGAGACGCCGGAGCGGATCCCGACTTAGACGTCGGGATCCGCCCAGCTGCGTGAGTGACAGCTGGCTCTGCCTATCTAGAGGCAGAGCCAGCTGTACCCGCCCCCTTCCGTTCCGCCAGTCAGCGCTGGCGCTGATTCCCCCAATCCAGCTCCTCCCCTGTCACGGCAGAGGGCTGTGACAGGATCGAGAGGTGAGCGAACGCCGGAATGTATTCGCTCACCTCCCGATCTACTGAGCCGACCTGTGACAGTCTCATTGTCACAGGTCGGCTAGAACTATTAGGGGAGTGAAAAGCACTCACCTCATAGTTCTCCTTTTAAGCTGCCACAGGCTGAACAAAAATAAATATTCCTTCATCCAACAGATTCCTTCATCCATGCTAAACAGTGCGAATGGGCGAATCTCCTGCTGTGAGCTTTGTATCTGTTGTTAGAATTCTTGAGCAGTGGTGGCAGCTGTCACCGTTTGCCCAAAGATTTTCCATCCGACTCCTTTTGATTTTCTGATTGAAGGATGCCAAACAGAAGGGCGCCAACAGGGGCCACCCACTGTTCTAATTTTGGCTGGATCATCGAGAACCGGCTGAAATTCGCTCAGTGTATGGCCAGCAGACATATGGAGGTAGATTGTGCTTGTTTTGCAGCTCCAGGGCTCTCCTCCTTATCCCGATGTTAATGCTTATTGAGTCACTAAATAAGCATTAAGGAAGCAATTTCAGACTTTTTGGTGTTTATTAGGAGTGTGCTTCTTGCAGCCTCTGTATTTCTTTCAGCACCAGCTTCCTTTAGCTGTTTAATGCCCCAACTTCATTGAAGCCTAGATGCCTAGGCCAAATTTGGCAGCATCCATTAACTTGACTATAATTCTATGACCAATTTGCGCACCTAAATATTTTTTATACACCTTTTTAAGTATATATAGGGCTTTGAAACAAAACAAAAAAAAGTATATATGAGGCTTTTATTTAGCACACTATTTTAATAAGAACCCTGCTCTGTTTTTTATTATAAGCTAAAACAGTACAAAACTAAAAATCAATTGTTTAATTTTTTTATGCTGTAATTGTACTTGACCATTACAGCAATAAACAGATGGTGCTACATATGCCATTGCAGCCTGAAGGTGGTAGTGTTCATCTGCAAGCTGAAGGCTTTTATTTTTCCAATAAAGCCCCCAGCCTGATGTCATAGCTGACATAGTGATCACATGATTGGGTTTCACTCACAGACAGCCAGGATTAAGGGCCAGCATGTGTCAAAAGTGTTGGCCGACCCTCAAATTGGGGAGGGCATTTATAAACGTATCACCAGCACAGGGCATAGTGCTGGGTAACATTTATAGGGTGGGAAGGGCTTCAAGCAGGATGGGCACAGGCATCATTGTAATAATATTATTTTACCTTAATTGAGGTGGATACAGGTCAGCTTCAACTAAACACTTTTTGTCTTCAGACTTTATTTAGAAACATATTTGTTTTCCTTCTTGTTTAGGTAGAAACTGTGCTTTCCTTCGAGTTGTGCGGGGCAGATCTCTGTGTGAAGAGTACGGTTTGGAAACTGCTAAAAAAGATGACATTGGTAAGAGAGTACATAGCACATGTGCATCCACACGGTGGCGTCACAAGTGGGGGTGCAGGCCACACCCAAATGCCACCTTTGGAGGGGTGACACCAAAATGACTAACAGTCATTTTGGTGTCACCTCCTATGAAAAGTCGGGCACTCGGTCATGGACCGAGAGCCCGACAGTGTCACGAGAGAGGAGGGGACCCGGCGGCATACCTCATCCCGACGGGTTTGGCGTACATCACCAAGATGGCCAACGGTGCACGATGACGTCACGGTGGGGTGTACGCCCCTTCTCCGCACCGGGGGACACCTGGCCTTGGGGCGCCCCTGCATCCACATACACCTTTCTTTTCTGTTTATTAATGTGAAAGTTCACTTAAATGTCTCACACCCCAGCAACATATAGTTATGTTTTTTTCTGTGCAAATGAAGGCAAAAACAACATAGTTTATGTTTTTGAATGCAATATCAGGAACAATACTGCATTATGACTGGATGGAGCTGAGGAGCATAAGCAATAAGGCTCATCAGCGCCATCTAGTGGCCATATTGGGGTATTTTCCTAATATTACATTCAACTTGAAAAGAAAATATACATTGTTTTTGCTTTCATTCGCACAGAACAAACGTTCGCAGAGTAATTGGCTCTGTGAATCGTTTGTAAATACACCCCATAGTATGTCTCTTCTGCAATAAAAAGCTTTCCTGCTTGCATTTTTTTTTAAAAGTTACATTTTATGCATAGCTGCAGTCTGTTACGGTTACCTACACAAATGCCTCTGTTTGATTACCAGTGCAAAGAGCAACTGACTGCAGCTCTGACTTTGACCATTCTTGTCTTCCAGTATCATTGATGGAGAATCCAGACAATGAAATCGTCTTCTATTTAATGCTGAGAGCTGTGGACAGGTTTCACAAGCAGCATGGAAGATATCCAGGTATGGTATTTTTATAGGTAAATCCATTCCAATTGTTAAAGGGAAGAATAACATGATTACTGAAGCATGCAGGGCGTAAAGCTGGGGATACCAGGACTTCTAGTCACTGCATCAGTTATGATCTGACCATTGGATGTACAGAATGATTATCCTACCTGACCTAAGCTTCTGTTTTCCACCAAGCGAATGCTCTTGTGTTCAGGGACCAATTCCTTTGCTGTTGGGAACCTGAGAACCCCATGTGCAGTTTGATTTTAGGTACCATAAGCCCTCGTTCACACCTGAACGTTTTGTAGCGCGTTCTACGCTTGACGAACGCTCTACAAAACGCCCAAACATGAAAATCCCATTGTTTTCAATGGGTCTGGTTCACACCTAGGCGTATTTCAGCCCGTCCCTAACGCGCTACAAAACGGCCCACGCCTGAAAAGGTACATGTACTACTTTGGGACGTTTTTGTTGCGTGTTTCCATTGGGATACAGCCAAATAGCCCTCGGAACCGCGCGTTCCGGGTTCCGTCCCTTGCGAGCATCCGCGTCGCAGGGGGGCGGAACAGGCGGGAATTTTAAAAGCTGAAAAAGAGAACAAAAAAGAAATAATAATCAGACGGCCAGGGAGGTTAAGAGTAAAACAAAGGTCTTTCATCCAGTTTGTTTTACCATTCTCATGCAGGGGTCTATAATTACCAAGTCGAAGGAGATTTTGGGAAGCTGAAGACCTGTCTGAACAGTTTCCTGCAGGAATACGGCTTATCTCTTTGTGTGAAGGATGAATATATCCAGGAATTGTAAGTCCATTATCAACATTTCACATCTCATCATCTCCCGGTGCAAAGGGAGAATTCTACTATAAAACATTTATTTTACAAATTGGGGATGCATTTATGAGAAATTCCTAAAGTTTACATGATTATTTCATACCACTAGTTATTAAATGTAAAACAAGTTTTAGATCACAAAAAAAGGATGTTGGGGAATTGGAGAGGGTGCGGAGTGGGGTAACTAAACTGATAATAGGCATGGAGGAGCTCAGGTATGAGGAAAGATTAGCTGAATTGAATTCGATCTTTCTTGAGGAGAGGCGATTAAGAAAGGGATATGATCACCATGTATGAATACATATGTGGTCTATAAAATGAACTGCAAAAGTGAATCACTTTCAAGTAAACTATCAAACCTTTTTTTTCAATAATGAATCCAGATCAAACAAATCAAAGCCCAGCACTTTTTTACCCAAACACTTGCAATTATCATGTTTCTGAACAGCTGCTTCCAAGTCTCTCTGCTCTGCTTCCCTAAACTTCCTGTCCAGTACAAGATCACAAAAGACAGAGCAGACTCCAGCAACTGTTCATCTACTAGCTTGAAAGAAGGAGGGGAGTAGCTTAATTTGCTGTGTCTTCCTGTTTGTGGAAATCAAAAGATCTTCTGCACTCCTTACCGGAGTAAAAAAGACCCGTATGGATGGGTGGGTGCTTGTAGTGGCCACGGATGGCACCGTGAAAAGATGAGATAGAAAATAACGTCACCAGCACTCCAAGGGATAATAAAGCAATAGTCCATTTATTGGCACAGTGCCATTCAAAGTGCACATTGAATGGCAATGTGCCAATAAATGGACTATTGCTTTATTATCCCTTGGAGTGCTGGTGACGTTATTTTCTATCTCATTCCTGTTTGTGGAGACACACACAGCTTACTAGCACACACAAGGTTGACTGCATAGCACTCTGCTTGAGAAAGGAGTCACTTGAAAACAGGAAGTCAGGACCAGTGCTCAGGGGACCTGCTGATTCTGCAGGAAACTAAAAAAAGAAGCAGCGTCCATTCTAAGTGATTTCATCAGCATTTGAAATGGCTTAATATCCTTTTGACTTTAATATCACTTTGAGGTCATTGCACAGGAAAAGGTGCCTAAAGGGAAATTGCACCTTTTCGGGAAATAACAATAAATGAACACTTCTTCATAAAAGAAACGTACATTTATTATTTCTTTATTCCGCGATAAGTGGATCGCGGGTGCAATGCTCTGGCTCCTGCAGACTCTTCCTCCTGTATGTCTGTACCGTGATACGGACAAAACAACGGGAAATGTGCCAAATGTATTGCAGAGATGACTTTTTTATTCATCCTAGTCCAGACTTACAGTACACTTTAAAGTGAAAGTAAGCTGTTGAAAAAAAACAGGAGCTTTTAGCCGTAATGTGCTTTGCACAGCATATTAGCACATTGTGCAAGACTTGCCTACCAGTGATGGGCTTCTTCCGGGATTCAAATGTTTGGCCGCTTGGTTGTTATTATTATTAAACAGGATTTATATAGCGCCAAAAGTTTGCGCAGCGTTTTACAAAACTGAGGGAGACATTACAGTTACAAAACAATTCAAGACAAGATGGTAAGGAGGGTCCTATCTGTGAGTGCTTACAATCTAAAAATAGAACGGGCCCCAATGAAGTGACCTCCTGCATGCGCATGGGAGTCACTTTATTGTGGCATGCGCAGGGATCCCAACCTGAAGTAATTTCAGGGAGGTGCCCTTCTCATTTCAGGGAGGGGGTTGTTGAAGAGCACCCCCCTGAAATGATGGCAGATAGCAAAGAAGCCAATGCTACCCTTGCTATCAGCTGGGTTTTTTGTTTTTTTTAGTATTCCGACAGCTGCTGCCGTCAGAATAAAAAAGAAAAACTAAAAAAAAAACAGCATAGGAATGAATGGCAAATTGCTATTGGCTATTTCAGTTTGCAATAGCCAATAGCAAGCTGGCTATTGCACCCGCCCTCTGCTGCTGTCAATCAGCAGGAGGAAGACCTGATGGAGAACTTCAGGTCCACCTCTGCTGATTGACAGCGGCAGTGGGCAGGTGCAATAGCTAGTCTGCTATTGCTAATTCAAATAGCCAATAGCAATCAAGCTATTCATTTTTATGCTGTCTTTTTTTTTTTTTTTTTTTTTTTACTCTGCCGGCGGCTCCGATATCAGAGTAAAAAAAAACCCAGCAGGGAAAGGTTTACTCTGCTAAAGCAGAGTAAACCTTTCCAGGAGAAAACATTTCTCTCCCAGGCAGGCAGGAGCTGCTATCTAATAGCGGGAGACTCCCAGAATGTCCGGGAGAGTTGGGATGTCTGCATGTGCGCAGTCAGGGAAAAAAAATGCCTCAGTGGTAGAAAGAAACTTTTATGGCAGAAGACACTTGCATAGAAAGCCTGCCAATCAGCATTTTTTTTTGAACTTTTACTTCCACTTTATGGGAACATGAGCAGCAATATAATAACTTTATATTTTGGCTTTACATCCTCTTTAAATACTTGTATCCTTTGTCATTTGAACAATGACCTGGAAAGGTATATAAGCTTTCTCATATGTGGAAAACAACAATTGTGATCTAATGGGAAGCTCTGACACATCCGGACTTTTGACCATTGCCTGCTCCCCCCCCCCCCTTTTGCAAACCGCACCCACTACTTCTTTCTCTGCAAT